GGAGGAGGAGGAGGAGAAGAAGGAGAAGAGATTGGATTTATACCCCACCCTTCACTTGGAGTCTCAGAGCGGCTTACAAACTCCTTTCCCTTCCCCTCCCCACAACAGACACCCTGTGAGGTGGGTGGGGCTGAGAGAACTCTGACACAAACTGCTCTTTTTCAAGGACAGCTGTGCCAGAGCTTGTGACTGACCCAAGGTCACATCGGCAGGTGCAAGTGGAGGAGTGGGGAATCAAACCCGGTTCTCCCAGACCAAACTGGAAGAAGAGGAGGAGGAGGAGGAGGAGGAGGAGAAGAGGAGGAGGAGGTGAAGAAGAAGAAGCGGAGGAGGAGAAAGAGAAGAAGAAGAAGAGGAGAAGGAGAAGAGGAGGAGGAGGAGAAGAAGGAGAGAAAGAAGAAGAAGAAGAGATTGGATTTATACCCCGCCCTTCACTACCCAAAGGTGTCTCAGAGCGGCTTACAAACTCCTTTCCCTCCCCCTCCCCACAACAGACACCCTGTGAGGTAGGTGGGGCTGAGAGCTCTGAGAGAAACTGCTCTTTTTCAAGAACAGCTGTGCCAGAACTACAGCTTGCCCAAGGTCATCCAGCCAGGAGCAAGTGGAGGAGTGGGGAACCAAACCCGGTTCTCCCAGATTAGAGTCCGCGCACTCAACCACTACACCAAACTGACTCCTAGAGAACATGTCTTCATCCAGAGTGAGAGAGGAGGAGGAAGGGGAAACTGATCCCTGAGGACACAATCTGCATTTCAAAGAGGACAGAGGCAGAAGAGTAGATACAGGAAGAAAGGTCAAGTGTGCCTGTCTAGCTGTCTAGTCTCTCTTGCCACTCAGTCTGGAAGTCTGAGACAGGGGAGATCGTGCCTGGAACTTCCAGCATTACCTGCACGGAAAAGCCCTCTCAAAGAGTTCAGTTTTGCACAGTTGGCAGAAGGCCAGGAGACCAGGAGCTTTCCTGACCCCCTCGAGCAGGCTGTTCCACAGCGTAGGAGCCACAATGGAGGGAGTGCGTGACGTAGGCGGTAAGCGCCTTGGGGCAGAAGTCTATCTGGTCTGGCTCACGTTATTCCGTAAAGGGGTAGGTAAGCGGGTGCCCTCGCTCACCTGCTTTGTGAATGATTAGGGTGTCCTCAGTGCCGGGTGCCGAACTTGCCTCGACGTCATGAAGGCGCGGCTCCTCCAAAGGCAGCGACGGGGGCTCCTTTCCTAAGTGGGTGGGCTCTGGAGTCTTGGCTGGGCCGGAACTGGGGGTCAGCACCAGCCCAGGGTCCTGAGTCGAGAGAGGAATGTTTGCACAATTCAAATGTGTGCGCGTGGGTTACACTTTCAATCCTCCTAAAGCAAGGTTTCAATGCTGAGCGCCCAGTCCTCTGCGCGTTGACTTGGAAGTTAGTCCCACCAGCGCTCAGTGGAACTCGGTCCCCGATCAGGAGTGCAGCCTTAGTTAAGAGAACTGATTAAAAGGGGTTTTGTTCAACCAAAACAGAGGTCCATCCCAGTTAACTGGGTGTGAATTTTAAAACAATGTCTGCTCTTAAAAGAGGCCTTCCCCCTTCTCTTTCATCCGAGAGGGAACGCCTCTTCTAGCCGCAGCCTATAAAAGGCATTCCTCCTTCTCTCATAAACAGGAGGGAATGCCTCTTCTAGCCACATTTAAGAAAAGACATTCGTCCTTCTCTCATAAATAGGAGGGAAAGCCTCCTCTAGCCGCATCCAAGAAATGGAACTCCCCCTCCCCCACCCCCAGGAGGGAATGCCTCTACAAGCCACATGCTAGAAAAGGAACTCCCCCTCTCCCACACCCAGGAGGGAATGCCTCTACAAGTCACATGCTAGAAAAGGAACTCCCCCTCTCCCACACCCAGGAGGGAATGCCTCTACAAGCCACATGCTAGAAAAGGAACTCCCCCTCTCCCACACCCAGGAGGGAATGCCTCTACAAGCCACATGCTAGAAAAGGAACTCCCCCTCTCCCACACCCAGGAGGGAATGCCTCTACAAGCCACATGCTAGAAAAGGAACTCCCCCTCTCCCACACCCAGGAGAGAATGCCTTTTCTAGCCACATGCAAGAGAGAATGCCTCTTCCAGCCACATCCTAGAAAAGGCATTCCTTCTTTTCACATACAAGAGGGAATGCCTCTTCTAGCCCCATGCTAGAAAAGAAGAAAAAGAGGAGATAGGATTTATACCCCACCCTTCACTACCCAAAGGTGTCTCAGAGCGGCTTACAAATTCCTTTCCCTTCCCCTCCCCACAACAGACACCCTGTGAGGTAGGTGGGGCTGAGAGAGCTCTGACAGAAACTGCTCTTGTTCAAGAACAGCTCTTATCAGAGCTACGGCTTGCCCAAGGTCATCCAGCCAGATGCAAGTGGAGGAGTGGGGAATCAAACCCGGTTCTCCCAGATTAGAGTCCACACACTTAACCACTACACCAAACTGGTGTAGGTGGTCCCCCTCTCCCACATCCCGGACAGAATGCCTCTTCTAGCTACATGTTAGAAAAGGCATTCCTCATTTTCTCATAAACAGAATGCCTCTTCTAGTCACATCCTAGGAAAGACATTCCTCCTCGCATAAACAGGAGGGAATGCCTCATCTAGCCACAGACTAGAAAAGGAACTCCCCCCTCTCCCACACCCAGGAGGGAATGCCTCTTCTAGCCACATGCTAGAAAAGACATTCCTCCTTTTCTCATAAACCGGAGGGAATGCCTCTTCTAGCTACATCCTAGAAAAGGCATTCCTTCTTCTCACATATAAGAGGGAATGCCTATTCTAGTCACATCCCAGAGAAGGAACTCCCCCCTTCTCCCATACCCAGGAAGGAATGCCTCTTCTAGCCACAAGCTAGACAGGAGTGAATGCCTTTTGGGGCCACATGCCAGAAAAGGCATTCCTCCCTCTCCCATACAGAGGAGAGAATGCCTCTTCTAAGACGGTGTCTCTCCCAATGCACCGATACAGTATCTAAAAACAAATAAGACATGTTGCTCTTCAGAACAGCTGGCTCTTGTTCGTTACCAAAGGCATGCAAATTAAAACTCATATGCTTCATCAGCCCTTTAATCAGGTGGAAAGCCTCGCTTTCCCCAAAAGCGAAACCCTCCAGCAATGACGCAGGGTTTCCAAATAAACCACCCATGACTTCAGTAAAAACAGGAGAAATGACACCCGATGGAGAAGGCCAAGACATGCGCCGTCCTGAGAAGAAACTGAGGTCTCTCTTCGCCTAATACAGGATTGAGGTCTATTTTAATAGGGACATATTTTGTATTGAAGATAAAGCAGGGAGGGGACATTTAACAGTCTTGCGCTTAAAACATGAGCTCACGAAGTTGCCTTCTCCTGGATCAGACCCTCAGTCCATCAAGGCCAATATTAGCTAAGACTGGCAGCGGCTCTCCAGGGTCTCAGGCGGATGCCTTTCACATTGTATACTACTTGATCCTTTAACTGGAGATGCCGGGGATTGAACCTGGGGCCTTCTGCAGTGCAAACAAATGCTCTGCCACTGAGCCCCTACTCGGACTGGCAGCGGCTCTCCAGGGTCTCATAAGAACATAAGAGACGCCAATGTTGGATCAGGCCAAAGGCCCATCCAGTCCAACACTCTGTGTCACACAGGGGCCAGAAATACCAGGTAGCACCAGGAGGTCCACCAGTGGGGCCAGGACACTAGAAGCCCTCCCACTGTTGACCCCCCCCCAGCACCAAGATGACAGAGCATCACTTGCCCCAGAGTCCCTATCTATACCTTGTGGCTAATAGTCTCGGGTGGAGGTCTTTCACATCACCTGCAGGCCCGTAGCCAGGATTTCCCCCCCCCCAGGGGGCATTTAAATTTTTAAGGGGGCAGTTAGATTACAGTCAACTACATGAGTCGGAATGCCCGTCTTTAAAGGGGGAGGCTCCAAGCCTATGTCTGGCCCTTCCTTTCAAGGGATAGGGCAGCGAGCGCGTCAGTTCCTAGGGAAAAACAGTTACAGAGGGCATTTCATTGCCTTTTGAGTTCAATTCCACAGGGCAAGGAAGCTTAGAAGGGCACCTTCAATACATCTCCAACAATCTCCCTTTCTGCTAGCCCAGTACCACTTGGGACATGGTCAAAAATAAAGCATGGCCAGGGGTCATTTCGTAGAAAAAGAGGTGCAGGAGCTCATTAGCATCACTCATGAGCATAACTTATTTGCGTATGCCACACCCCATGACATCACCGGAAGTATGTCAGAAGCCAACACCCACTGCACACCCACTGCAACTTACCTATCTGCTTCTTGCTCCTCGAGGCCCGGGGCTGCTGGGAGCAGGGGGCGGGGCTTGTTGCATGTGCCCGCCCCCCTGGGCCCTTTACTGCCGGAGCTCCGCTCCTGTGCGCTCCTGCAGGAAATGACCCCTGGGCGTGGCTATTTGTGGGGCGGGGCCCCAAAAAGCCCCACCGTGGCTACAGGCCTGACCTACTACCCAATCCTTTTAACTGAGTTACTGGAGGTTGAACCTGGCACCACCCGCATAACGAGGATGACTGAACCAGGGACCTTCTGCATGCCGAGCAGATGACCTGCCTCTGAGCCACGGCCCTTCTCCTAAGATTGACATGGGTTGTTAGGGATTTGGTAAGAGACAGGCCCGTAGCTACAGTGGGGCATTTCGGGGCCTGCCCCCCCCCGACTTCCTCCCAAGGCCCCCCGACTTCCATTCAGCCCCCAGGTCCCCTGGCTCTCTGGGCCACCCGGAGGACTCCCAACTCTCTGGGCCACCTGGGGGACTCCCCATCGCCGCCCCTTTCCCAGCGTAGACAGGCAGACTGTGAATGCGGCAAAAGTGAGTCTTTTAAGATTTAATTTTTTTATTTTGTGATGTCAGTGCCCCCCAACTTATTTAAAGGCCCCCCAAATTACAAAATCCTGGCTACGGGCCTGGTAAGAGTTGCAAAAGCATTTAACATTTGCCCAGCTTTGTCCAGACCGGAGAATTCTCACAGGCACGTGCAGAGGCTCCATCCAGGTCCTACCTTGAGTTTGGCTTCCTCTGGCTCAGGATGCTCCGTCAGTAATTTGCTGTCAGTGGGAGGAGCTATAAAGGGGGAGAAGACACACAGTCACGGTGGGGATCCAAGCAAAGGGGGAGAGAGTCATCCCCCCCCCCTGTCTCACCTTCCTTCAGGCACTACTTGTTACCTCTCTACCCCCAATATGGTCAGGGGCCAGCGTATCTGAGGGACCGCCTTCCCCCAAATGTTCCCCAGAGAGCACTGCGATCTGGGACACAAAACCTCCTTGTGTTCCCTGGCCCTAAACCACGACACCCATCAGGCAATAGGTACGGGACAAGCGGAAGGAAATACTTCAAAAGGAAGTAATTCAATTGCTGAATTATCCAGGGGATGGTTGCGACTACAGATGGCTTTAAATGTTGGTTAGACAGATTCCTGGAGGAGCAGTCCATCTAGCCATGGTGACTAAAGAGCCTCAACATCCAGAGGCAGACGACGTCTGAATAGCAGTGCCAGGAAGCAACATCAGGGGAAGGCCTCGGCCTCTCTGCCCTGTAGTTGGCCCCCCAGGGGAACAGGTTGAGGCCACTGTGTGAGACAAGATGTTGGACTAGATGGACCCTCACTGATCTGATCCAGCAGGGCTCTTCTGAGGTTCTTGTGAGGGGAAGACCTCGGCCTCTCTGCCCTGTTGTTGACCCTCCAGAGGAACAGGTTGAGGCTACTGTGTGAGACAGGATGCTGGACTAGATGGACCCTCACTGGTCTGATCTAGCAGGGCCTGTCTGATGTTCTTATGAGGGGAAGGCCTCGGCCTCTCTGCCCTGTTGTTGACCCTCCAGAGGAACAGGTTGAGGCTACTGTGTGAGACAGGATGCTGGACTAGATGGACCCTCACTGGTCTGAACCAGCAGGGCTCTTCTGATGCTCTTATGAGGGGAAGGCCTCGGCCTCTCTGCCCTGTTGTTGACCCTCCAGAGGAACAGGTTGAGGCTACTGTGTGAGACAGGATGCTGGACTAGATGGACCCTCACTGGTCTGAACCAGCAGGGCTCTTCTGATGCTCTTATGAGGGGAAGGCCTCGGCCTCTCTGCCCTGTAGTTGGCCCTCCAGGGGAACAGGTTGAGGCCACTGTGTGAGACAAGATGTTGGACTAGATGGACCCTCACTGGTCTGATCCAGCAGGGCTCTTCTGATGCTCTTATGAGGGGAAGGCCTCGGCCTCTCTGCCCTGTAGTTGGCCCTCCAGGGGAACAGGTTAAGGCCACTGCGTGAGACAAGATGTTGGACTAGATGGACCCTCACTGGTCTGATCCAGCAGGGCTCTTCTGATATCCTTATGAGAGGAAGGCCTCGGCCTCTCTGCCCTGTAGTTGGCCCTCCAGGGGAACAGGTTGAGGCCACTGTGTGAGACAAGATGTTGGACTAGATGGACCCTCACTGGTCTGATCCAGCAGGGCTCTTCTGATGCTCTTATGAGGGGAAGGCCTCGGCCTCTCTGCCCTGTAGTTGGCCCTCCAGGGGAACAGGTTAAGGCCACTGCGTGAGACAAGATGTTGGACTAGATGGACCCTCACTGGTCTGATCCAGCAGGGCTCTTCTGATGCTCTTATGAGGGGAAGGCCTCGGCCTCTCTGCCCTGTAGTTGGCCCTCCAGGGGAACAGGTTGAGGCCACTGTGTGAGACAAGATGTTGGACTAGATGGACCCTCACTGGTCTGACCCAGCAGGGCTCTTCTGATATTCTTATGTGGGGAAGGCCTCAGCCTCTCTGCCCTGTTGCTGTCCCTCCAGAGGAACTGGTTGAGGCCTCTGTGTGAGGCGGGATGCTGGACTAGATGGACCCGTCTTAAGTTCTTGAAATCCAGCAGTGGTCTTCTCCTGCTCTTATGGAAGGACACAGTGTCTACCCTGCCCCCCTCTCATCTGTGCATCCAAACGCTACATACCAAGGGTGTCGTCTTTCACCAGTTCAGCTTCTTTCACAATTTCCTCCACACCTTCTGCACTCAGTTCTTCCACAGGTAGTGCCTGGAAAAACAGAACGAATGAAATAATGGATCAGAGGCCCATCAAGTGGCTATTAGCCACAAGGTAGAAGACTCTGACTGGGGCAGTGATGCTCTCTCTTCTTGGTGCTTGGGGGGGGGGCAAGAGTGGGAGGGGCTTCTGGAGTTCTGGCCCCGCTGGTGGACCTCCTCATGGCGCCTGGGTTTTGGCCACTGTGTGACACAGAGTGCTGGACTGAGTCGGCCGCTGGCCTGATCCAACATGGCTTCCCTTATGTTCTTAATGGAACACGCACCTGCTCTTACCCATGGGGGCTGCGCTGTGTTCCCATTCCTAAAACAAAAGGCCAGGGAATCAAAAGCTAGTTGCAGACTCCAGCCTGGGAGCTGTTTCCTCCAATCCCGGCTGCGTGGCATCTGGTTGTCGCCAGGAAGCACTCTGCATAAGCTCAGAGGCACTCTCGGCTTTGTCAGCATGGGCCCCGTGGCAGGGCTGGGGCCAGGCATCGAAAGCAGGCAGCAGGGGCTCGGCGCCAGCTCAGATACAGCCCCATGACTTGCCTGGGCAGTCAAAGATAGCAGGCAATCCCTATTCCGCAGTCAATAAGGTCCGCTCTCCAGCTCTGCCCGGGATCTGCTAGTACTTCAGCCCAAAGGCATGGTGGGTCCTGGGTGCTCTGTCATCCACAGCTGCCACTCCCCCTTCCCCATCTATTAATTTCCGCACCCTTCCTTCATTGTTCCAATCCCCTCCCCTCAGTTGCTCTGGAGAGAGGGTGGGATTTGAGAACAGGGAACTCCATTGGGTCCCATGCCATAGATTCCCCTAGGGTTGCCAGAGCCGGGTTTGGAAATACCTGGAGATTTGGGGGGGGGAGCCTGAGGAAGGCGGGGTTTGGGGAGGGGAGGGGCTTCAGTGGGGTATATTGCCAAAAGAGTCTACCTTCCAAGGTGGCCATTTTCTCAGGGTGAACTGATCTCTGTCACCTGGAGGTTAGTCGAAAATCGTCTATTTATTTATTTATAGTATTTTTATCCCGCCCTCCCCGCGAGCAGGCTCCGGGCGGCTTACATTACGTGGCACAATGTACCAAGTGCATATAAAACAATTAAGACCAATTGAAACAGTCAAACCAATTTACAAGTAAAGTGCTTGTAAAGTGTTGATAGTGGAAGTTGAGGGTAATAGTGGGCGGCTCCTAGCTGAAAGCCTGGTGGAAGAGCTCCGTCTTGCAGGCCCTGCGGAATCGCAGAAGGTCTCGCAATGGCAACCGTGATATATTTACAAAGGGAATATCACTCTTTTTATAGATTTTCAAAAAATAGATCAATATTAGGCCAGTTTGGCTGCAGATCCTGGAGGCTTTTTGTCACCTTCTGGGCATGGAGTAGGGGTCACTGGGGGTGTGGAGGGGGAGGTATTTGTGAATTTCCTGCATTGTGCAGGGGGTTGGACTAGACGACCCTGGAGGTCCCTTCCAGCTCTGTGATTCCATGGTTCTATGATTAATACTAATACTAATTAATTTCTGTACATTCATACAAGAATAAGCATCAAAAAATTATTCTACAATGTTGACAAGCACAGTCCAATAATCTAAAGCCTTTTAGCATCTCCGGGTGATTAGGCAGTTGGTTTCCTTCCTCGAACATAGCGACCTAGCAACGGTAATCCACACAATAAGAACATAAGAGATGCCAATGTTGGATCAGGCCAAAGGCCCATCCAGTCCAACACTCTGTGTTACACAGTGGCCAAAAATACCAGGTGCCATCAGGAGGTCCACCAGTGGGGCCAGGACATTAGAAGCCCTCCCACTGTTGCCCCCCCCCAAGCACCAAGAAGACAGAGCATCACTTGCCCCAGAGCCCCTATCTATACCTTGTGGCTAATAGCCACTGATGGACCTCTGCTCCATATGCTTATCTAATTCCCTTTTGAAGCCGTCCATGCTTGTAGCCGCCGCCACTTCCTGTGGCAGTGAATTCCATGTGTTAATCACTCTTTGGGTGAAGAAGGACTTCCTTTTATCCGTCACCTCGAGATTAGACTACTGTAATGCTCTCTACATGGGGCTGCCCTTGTCCCAAATTTGGAAGCTGCAGCTGGTGCAGAATGCAGTGGCCAGGCTGCTGTTGGGTCTCTCTCCACAAGAACACATCCAGCCCACGCTGGAAGCATTGCATTGGCTGCCTATAGCACACCGAATTCGCTTCAAGGTCCTGGCGCTTACCTATAAAGCCCTATATGGTCAGCGGCCTACATACCTGAGGGACCACCTTTCCCCACGTGTTCCCTGCATTCAGGGACACAAAACCTCCTAGTGCTCCCTGGCCCTAAAGAGGCCAGACTGGCCACTACCAGGGCTAGAGCCTTTTCCATGGCAGTAGCGTGCTGGTGGAACGAGCTCCCTGAGGACACCAGGGCCATACTTCAATTCCGCAGGGCCTGCAAGAGGGAGCTCTTCCACCAGGCAGTTGACCACACTGCGGTGGCTCAGTGGTTAAGACAGCTGTGAGGAGGATGTGAGCTGTTTTGGGTTCCCATTGGAGAGAAAGGCAGGGAATCAATGGAAACAAATAAATCAGCCGTCGGCCAGAGCCTTGAAGCAGAGATGCTGGAATTTGAACCCGGGACTGTCTGCATGCAAAGCTGGTGCTCTGCCACTGAACCACAGCCTCTTCCCCAAGTTTAATTTTGGTTATACTTTTCCTTTGTTTTTTACTAATTGGAATATGGATCCATGGAAATGAGTATTTTACTTATATGCAATTGTGAACTATCTCCTATCCTACCTGTTTTTGAATTCTTGAACTTTTTGAAATCCCTTGTAATGTTTTTTTTTTTTTAATTATCAATAAAATGTTGTTATAAAAATAAATAAATAACTACATCGCGGTCACCACTGACTATTTTCTACTCACTTATCTCATGCTCTCCTTGGTTATCCTCAGGGCTGTTTTTGGGCAGGAACGCACAGGAACGGAGTTCCGGCTGGCTTCCAAGTTGGCCACACCCAGCAGGAATGCATTAGCATAATAGGCCACACCCAACAACAGAAACTCATTAGGATTGGCTACATTAGGGGTGTGTGGCCTAACATGCTGCTACAAAAAAGCCCTGGTGGACCACAAACAAGGTAAACAGAATAAGAAGCAAAAGGTGGGTGTGGCTGGATGAGCACACTTCTGGTAACATGGGAGTGTTGCCTATAATGCCAATGAGCTGTGCTGTCAGGGGTGTGGCCTAATATGCTAATAGGTTTCTGCTGTTGGGTGTGGCCTATTATGCTAATATGTTCCAGCTGGGCTTTTTCCACAAAAAGAGCCCTGGATCCTTATCCTCACCTGGAGGGTAACAACCGTGGCTTCCACAAGTCCCCATTTCCTTCCCCTCCCCAATTGGCTGTCTTGATTCCACCCGTGATCACTCACCTCGGATCCGGCAATGACCCAACTGTTATTATCCGACTCCCGCGAGTCCGAGTTGTCAGCCATCTCTGCTCATGCCCCGGGGACCCACGGCTACCACCTGCGGGTTATAGACCAAGGGATCAGCAAAGCCTTCTGGTGTGTCTATTCACCCCTTATGGGATGTGTCCATGGGAAGGGACTGCAGGACTCTCACTAACAAAGCACCTTGACTGGCCTTTCCAGGAGAGGAAGATTTGACTGGCAAATTCATTCGGCATGCAAATGCAGTCAGAGCCATGCCTGGGTCAAAGCTGAATGAAAACCTCAAGGAATGGGCAAACGGCATGTTCTCATCCACACCCCACAGCTGGGAAGATCTTAGCCAGCATCCCCTGCCCCCCATATCTGCTCCAGTTTGGTGTAGTGGTTAGGAGTGGCTCTGATCTGAGAGAACCGGGTTTGATTCCCCCACTCCTCCACGTGCAACCAGCTGGGTGCAGTGTTCCCTCTAAGCTGAGTTAGTGTGTGCCAGCTCACAGTTTTTTCAGCCTCTGGCTCACACAGTTTTGTCTCAGCTCAGGGAGGAGGGCTCCAGAGCAGACTACATTTATGCAGTGGCCAAATTGCTTGCTCACAGAAGCCCCGTGAGGCGGCCTAGGCCCAAGGTCTCCCAGGGAGCTTCCATAGCAGAGCAGAGATTCGAATCTGGGTCTTCCAGACAGGGTGTGGCATCTTGTGAGCAAAAATTCTGCTTTGAGCGCTACTGGCATTTAAAGCTGTAGCCAAATCGCTTGCTCACAACTTCGCATGCCAGCAGCTCACAAAGTAGAATCTTTGCTCACAAGACGCCACCGCTTAGAGGGAGCACCGGCTGGGTGACCTTGGGCCAGTCACAAGTTCTGTCAGAGCTGTTCTCCCAAGAGCAGTCCTTGAGAGAGCTCTCTCAGCCCCACCTCCCTCCCAGGGTGTCTGTCGTGGGGAGGGGAAGGAGCTTGTAAGCCGCTCTGAGACTTCTTCAGGTAGTGAAGGACAGGGTGTAAATCCAGTCTCCTCTTCTTCTTCCTCTCCCCTTGCCTCCCGAGCCCATATTCCTTCTCTACCTATGCAGGCACTGGGCAGGGTGACCAACGCTGGGTTTGGAAGTTTCTGGAGATTTCTGAGTGAAGCCTGAGGAGGCCGGGGTTTGGGGAGAGGAAGGACCCTAGCAGGTTACAAGGCCACAGAGTCCACCCTCCAAAACAGCCATTTCCTCCAAGGGAACTGGTCTCTGTAGTCTGGGGATCAGTGATAATGCTGGGAGTTCCCCAGGCCCTACCTGGAGGTTGGGAACCCTGGCACTGAGCCGTTAAACTACTGAGTGGCCAAGACTGGGGGCTGAAAGGTCATAGAACCATAGAGTTGTAAGGTACCCCCCAGGGTCATCTAGTCCACCCCCCTGCATTATGCAGGAAATCCACAAGTACCTCCCCCCCCCCCCCAGTGACCCCCCCTACGCCCAGGTCAGTCAGCTCCAGATTTTACCAGGCCTGTTCTGTTCTGGCTACACAGACATAACTTCATCAATCTACCTAAAGAAGAAAATATGTCCACCCGTCCGCCCATCCATCTATCCATCCATCCTGTTTGTATCCTTTCCAAAAAGAACCAGTTTGGTGCAGTGGTTAAGTGCGCGGACTCTAATCTGGGAGAACCGGGTTTGATTCCCCATTCCTCCCCTTGCAGCTGCTGGATGGCCTTGGGCAAGCCGTAGTTCTGTCAGAGCTGTTCTCTCAAGGGCAGTCCTCGAGAGAGCTCTCTCAGCCCCACCTACCTCCCAGGGTGTCTGTTGTGGGGAGGGGAAGGGAAAGGAGTTTGTAAGCCGCTCTGAGACTCCTTTGGGTAGTGAAGGGCGGGGTATAAATCCAATCTCCTCTTCTTCTTCTTTTACCTCACAGGGTGTCTGTTGTGGGGAGGGGAAGGGAGAGGAGTTTGTAAGCCGCTCTGAGACTCCTTTGGGTAGTGAAGGGCGGGGTATAAATCCAATCTCTTCTTCTTCTTCTATTACCTCACAGGGTGTCTGTTGTGGGGAGGGGAAGGGAAAGGAGTTTGTAAGCAGCTCTGAGACTCCTTTGGGTAGTGAAGGGCGGGGTATAAATCCAATCTCTTCTTCTTCTTCTTTTACCTCACAGGGTGTCTGTTGTGGGGAGGGGAAGGGAAAGGAGTTTGTAAGCAGCTCTGAGACTCCTTTGGGTAGTGAAGGGCGGGGTATAAATCCAATCTCTTCTTCTTCTTCTTTTACCGCACAGGGTGTCTGTTGTGGGGAGGGGAAAGGAGAGGAGTTTGTAAGCAGCTCTGAGACTCCTTTGGGTAGTGAAGGGTGGGGTAGAAATCCAGTCTCTTCTCTCTTCTCTTCTCTTCCTCCAGTAACCTCAGGGGAGTTTATATGGTTCTCTCCTCCTCCATTTTATCCTACATGGACCCTGGTAGGCTCAGAAACTGAGACAGGCCCAAGGTCACCACAGGGTTGCCAACTATAACACACAAGGGCTGATAGAGTTGACCTGCCGCGTTTCGGCCTGCATAGGCCTATTTGTTATAATTTGTTATTTGTACATGAGGTATAATTGGGCCCTTACATATAATTTAAAAATCTTTGTTTAATAAATACATGTATCTTTCTATATATTTCATACATTAAGCTTTTATTGTTGGCCCTCTTTTGCATTTGACTAACCTTTTTTAGGTTCTGGATTCTAGGTTTTAGGTTCAGTCCCCCCCCCCCCCCCCCCCCCCCCCGGTATTTTTGGACTGGAGGGGCCATTGGCCAGATCCAACATTGGCTTCTCTGATGTTCTTATAATCCACTTTCAGCGCATTTTCCAACTGGATTTTGCCAGTTCACAACTGTAAAAATCCAGTTGGAAAGTGCACCGAAAGTGCATTGGAAGTGGATGATTCAGTGCGTGTGTGTGTGACCGCAGCCTTGAAATGCCTGGGAAGAAAGGGGGCAGGGCCCTTGAGTGCCTTCCGGCCGGTGCTATTCTAGTTGGAGAGAGTATGCCGAGAATCCAAATCATGCCCCGTCCCCGAACGCCTGCCCCAAGCGGCAATGGGGTGGCCTCGAAAGAAAGAACCCCTGGGAGAATCCCCAAACCGATGCAGGAGACAAGCGGCGAGGGGAGAAAGACAGAGATACAGAGCAGGTGGGCACCCAAAGCCCTGCCTCAAAAAGAACAGATCCTGGTCTCCCCCCCCCCAGGAATCCAGTCTCTCTCTCCCCCCCCTCTGCAGAACAGCTGCCAGGCTACAGGAGAGTGACTTGGGGGGAAAGGATTCAAGTATATTTAGCTCCTTTTAATGCGGTGGAGCAGGTGGGGAGAGCTGGGCCGACGGGCCCGGGACGGTCTGCGGGGACGTGGCAAAGATGGTGGGCCACCACCCACACAGGGACATGCCGGGCTTTCTCCCCCCTTCCCCCCCCACGGCAGCTTTGCAGGGCGCTGAAGATGGGTCCCCGGCAGGCGGGAACGAGGCCAGCTGTCTTTGGGTCTCTCCGAGGAGGCGCCTGCGAACTCCCAGCGGATGTCATAGCAACCCTGGCAGAGATGACCTTAATAGGCGATCTGTGGAGGGCGAGGGAAGCGGGCAGGCCCCGATCCTCGGCATTAAAGCAAAACCACAAACGACGCTGGAGTCAGGCCGGCCTTTGGAAAAGGAGCTTTCGTTCAGACGGTCCCCAAGGTTTTCCTGTTTAGGTACAGCGTAGCCAGTTTGGTGCTCTGGTTAGAGCACCGGACTCTGGGATCAGCGCTCCCTCTGAGCTGAGTTAGTGTGAGTTAGCTCACCGTTCTTTAGCCTCCGGCTCACACAGTTTTGTCTCAGCTCAGGGAGGAGGGCTCCAGAGCAGACTGATTCATGCAGTGGCCAAACTGCTTGTTCACAGCTTTAATGCCCGTAGCTCACCAAGTAGAGTTTTTGCTCACAAGATGCCACAGCTTAGAGGGAGCCCTGTCTGGAAGGCCCAGATTCGGATCTCTGCTCTACTACAGAAGCTCGCTGGGTGACCTCAGGCCTAGGCCGCCTCACGGGGCTGCTGTGAGGAGGATGTGAGCTGTTTTGGGTTCCCATTGGGGAGAAAGGCAGGGAATCAATGAAGGAAACAATGGTAAAAAAGCTGACTAAACGCACAATGCTTCTTATATTTGGCAAGAGCTCTTTCCCATCACCCGTCGGCCAGAGCCTTGAAGCCACAGCCTCTTCCCCAAGTTTAATGGCAACTTTGCGCCAGACGCTTCTGGGGATGTATCCAGCTGGCCGTGAGGATTTAACGGGCCGTTCGGGGGGCTAGGGGAGAATTGTGGTTAAGAGAACCAAGCCGTGGGCAAAGGAATCTTAGGTTCAGACATCGCCTCAATTATGAATGGATTAGATGGCCTTAGGCATGCCATTTCCCTTCCCACCTGACAAACCGGTAGTACCGGCCTACCGTACAAGGATGTTGTGAGGATGACCGCCCCTCAATCAATCAGGTTGGGGGAAGCATGGATTGCCTTGCTGACGGCAAAAGAAAGTACTGTATTTGTGGCTACTTAAGTCACTTTCCCACCAATATCAGTTTTTAAGAAGAAGAGATTGGATGTGTACCCCACCCTTCACTACTCAAAAGAATCTCAGAGAGGCTTAAAAACTCCTTTCCCTTCCCCTTCCCACAACAGACACCCTGTTAGGGAGGTGGGACTGAGAGAGCTCTCCCGAGAACTGCCCTTGAGAGAACAGCTCTGAAAGAACTTATGACTGACCCAAGGTCACACCAGCAGCTGCATGTGGAAGAGTGGGGAACCAAACCTGGTTCTCCCAGATTAGAGTCCACGCTCTTAACCACTTCACCAAACTGGCTCTTAAGGTCCTTGAAAGGGGTGTTTGGGATTCAGATCCTACAGAACCCAAGAGTGGCCGTTCTTCCAGATTAATTGGGCGGTTTTTGTGCCTGCAATCTCAGTGGGGGCAGAGAAGGTATTTGACAGCTGGCGGAGTGAAACCCCCCCCAAAGGCTAGGAGAGCATAGCTGACCCACCCCCAACCATTCATCCCCAGAGAGAGGAGCGCTCATCTATTCCAGAGGAGTTAGGCGTGTTAGCCTATTGCTGCAAAATAGTAAAAAGCCCAGTAGCACCTTTAAGACAAACAAACTATATTGTAGCGTAAGCTTTCGAGAAACACAGCTCTCTTGCACCTGACGAAGAGAGCCGTGTTACTCAAAAGCTTATGCGGCAATAAAGTTTGTTAGTCTTAAAGGGTGCTACTGGGTTTTTTACTGTTTCTCATCTATTCTGTTGCTCTTACAGAGACATATCCTGGTCAAATGAACTCCTTTCCTTCCCTCAAACATAACCCCCTTCCCCAATCAGTGTTCCCGCTAAGCTGAGTTAGTGTGAGCTAGCTCACAGTTTTTTTAGCCTCCGGCACACACATTTGTGTCTTGGCTCAGGAATCCGGAGCAGACTAATTGATGCAGGAGCCAAATTGCTCCCTCACAACTTTCATGCCAGCAGCTCACCAAGTAGAATTTTTGCTCACAAGACTCCACAGCTTAGAGGGAGCGCTGTTCCCCATCAAGGAACCTTCATTAAAGGCTCAGGAGTGACGGATTGGAGTCAGGGGTGGGGGTGGAGAGCAGTGCTCCCTCTAAGTGGTGGAGTCTTGTGAGCAAAAATTCTACTCTGTGAGCTACTGGTATTAAAGTTGTGAGCGAGCAGTTTGGCTACTGCATGAATTAGTTTGCCCTGGAGCCAACGTTCCTGAGCTAAGACAAAAATGTGTGAGCTGGAGGCTACAAAACAGTGAGCTAGCTCACACTAACTCAGCTTAGAGGGAACACTGGTGGAGAGATCCCCTCCCCAATTTGAAATGAAAGCCCCCCCCTCGCTTCACAAACAACCACCCTGGATTAGTCTGTGTTTCAAATGAGGGGGACGCCCCCCTTTATGGCAACCCCCCCCCCAAAGCAAGACGCCCATCCGATAAGGGACCCACTGCAAGGGCAGAGGTGATGGGGGTGTTGCCATAGCAACCCAGCATCAGCATCCCCCAAATGACCCCGTTTTTGTCGGGCAGGGCAGGGTTCCCTAGAAGGCGGCGGGGGGGGGGGGGCGTCTGAATTTATCCTGAAGGATGGGGGAACCTCTCCCACCCCCAGTGGACGCCACTCTCCCCTCCCTCCTTGGCCACCCCTACCTTCGTCCAGCAGGGTCTCCCCCGTGCCTCCGGCGCCCCAGATCCCGACGGGGGGCCAAAGTCCCGGCTTCTGCCGAAGAGTTCGTTCCCCGAACTTCGCAGAAACTTTCCCTGCGGAGAAGAAAGGGGTGGGCCGTGTGGGTCAGGGAGCCAATCAGAGGGGCCGCCAGGGAAGACTCGGCCAGTGGTAGGGGCCGCCTTTGGTTCGGGGGCGGGGCGGAGACAAGTGCGAGAGAGGGCCCCCCCCGTCCCCCCCCCCTCACCACCATATATATATATAACTAGGCGGACGGAGAGGGCAGAGGGGGAGAGAGAGAGAGACAGGGACAGCTGGAGAGGGTGCCGGCGGGGTGGGGGGCGGGGGAGGAACTGTGCCAGACGCCCCAGCTGGTCTAAGAGAGTCCTCCTTACCCTTCCCGTCCTAGGCTGACGCAGGAATCCAGCCGCGGCAGAGTCCTGTGTAGCTCGAAAGCACGCACACGTGGGCAGTTGGAAGAAGAAGAGGAGATTGGATTTATACCCCGCTTGTCACTACCTGGAGGCGTCTCAGAGCGGCTTACAATCTCCTTTCCTGTCCCCTCCCCACAACGGACACCCTGTGAGGTAGGTGGGGCTGAGAGAGCTCTTGACAGAAACTGCTCTTTTTTCAAGAACAGCTCTGACAGAACTATGGCTTGCCCAAGGTCATCCAGCAGGTGCAAGAGGAGGAGTGGGGAATCAAAACCGGTTCTCCCAGATTAGAGTCCGTGCACTTAACCACTACACCAAGCTGAAAAAGACCGAGAGTCCAGTGGCACCTTTAAGACCAACAAAGTTTAATTCTGGGTATTAAGAAGAAGAGATTGGATTTATACGTCGCCCTTCACTACCCAAAGGAGTCTCAGAGTGGCTTACAAACTCCTTTCCCTTCCCCTCCCCACAACAGACACCCTGTGAGGTAGGTGGGGCTGAGGGAGCTCTTTCGAGAACTGCCCTTGAGAGAACAGCTCCGAGAGAACTTGTGACTGCCCCAAGGTCACACCAGCTGCTGCATGTGGAGGAGTCGGGATTCAAACCCGGTTCTCCCAATTTTGGAGTCTGTGCTCCTAACCATGATGCCAAACTGGCTCTCTAAACTGGCTGGAACTGGAGGGTTGTTTATTTATATATTTTATTCATTTCTAATGAGTGGGGAGAGATTGATAATTATACATTAATTGCTGCTGCTGTCTGTTCACTCCATTCATTTTCATGCTGCCTTTCTCACCGACGGGGACCGAAAGCGGCTTACATCCTTCTCCTCTCCTCCGTTTTATCCTCACAACAACCCTGTGAGGGAGGTTAGGCTGAGAGGTCGTGCCTTGGCCACGGTCACCCAGTGAGCTTCCATGGCACAAGACAGGATTCGAACCCGGGTCTCCCAGTTACTGGTTCGACACTCTTAACCAGTACACCAGGCTAGTAAGTGAGTCCGCCCTGGCTTCAGGAGAGAGTTAATAAACCCAGGATATTAAGACACAGTACGTCAGCGGGGTGTAATGGCTAGAGTGTCAGACTAGCATTCAGGGAGGCCCAGGTTCGAATCCCCACTCTGCCACAGAAGGCTGGGCCAGTCGCACACTCTCAGCCAAGCCTACCTCATGGGGTTGTTGTGAGGATAAAAAGGAGAGGAGATCGATGGAAGCTGCTATTGGTCACCATGGGTGAGAAAGGCAGCGTAAAAGATGAATTAAATGAGCTCCCAGGGGAATGAGCTCCCGGAAGAGATCAGGGCCCTGCGGGACCTTTTACTTTTTAATAATTAATTAATTGATTTGATTTGTATCCCGCCCTCCCTGCCGAGGCAGGCTCAGGAATGCATACAGTAATTTTTTTTAATGCATTAAAATACCAGTACATCAACACAATGCAAGATCATAAAACCATGTATGTAATCTAACAAGTAGCACATGACAAAGAAGTGCAAGTAACGTGCTGGTGGCGGTAGCATTGCCTCCTAACCCCTGTAGGCCATGATATGATGGTAACAACGAAAATATGGCCAGAGGCCGTAGCAGTTGGCATCACAGGCTGTAGAAGGTCCCGCAGGGCCCTAGTGTCTTCCAGGAGCTCATTCCACCAGTGTGGAGCCACTACTGAGAAGGCCCTGGCCCTGGTAGAGGCCAATCTGGCATCTTTCGGTCCAGGGAGGGTCAAGCGGTTTTGAGACCCCGACCTCAGTGCTCTCTGGGGAACGTATGGAGCCTGAAAGACAGAGCTCTTCCACCAGGCGTTTAACTAAGGAGCCGCATCATACACCAAGGACCTCTGCCAGCCTGTCCTGGCCTTACCATCGCTATCTTCAGCCTGTACCCGCCACATAACAAGTGACCGAACTGAGCTGGTGTGGAATTTATGGGAATTATATGGTCACCTAAATCATGTTATAAATAATCTTTGCTCCTGTTTACTCGATAACGTTCCAGCATTTTAGTTGTGTTTTAAATGACTGATATTTTACTATATGTTTATAGGTTATGATAGGTTTTAATTGTATTTTTATGAAGTATTTGTAAGCTGCTCTGAGCCTGCCTGGGGGGGGGGAGGGTATAAATTCAATCAATCAATAAATAAAAACAAAAAATAAAAACAGCATAATTATTGGTCTCCAGCTGCTACTAACAGGCCACTGAAAGGATTTGCATCCACTTCTGAATCCCCCAGCCTAAGGAAGAGAGAAGAGATTGGCTTTATACCCCGCCCTTCACTACCCAAAGGAGTCTCAGTGCTCCTTACAATCTCCCTGTGAGGTAGGCGGGGCTGAGAGAGCTCTGAGAGAACAGCTCTGAGAGAGCTTGTGACTGACCCAGGGTCACACCAGCAGCTGTATGTGGAAGAGTGGGGAATCAAACCCAGTTCTCCCAGATTAGAGTCCGCGCTCCTAACCACTACACCAAACTGGCTCCTAACTGCTACACCAAAACGCCACATGAACCATGTTTCGATTCACAGGAGCTGCTTCCAGGAGAGACTCGGAGGCTAAAAAAAGAGAATCCACAAACACGCTAATATTATTGATTTCTAACAATTTCTGTGCCGCCTTCATCTGCAAGCTGACTCATTGGTATACAGTAAACTGCCTGGGGCCTGCACATATTGTGACATAGGAAAGGGTCTCTCTGTATTCAGGGGATTCACTGGGTGTGCAGAAAAATTGTGACCGTACATTATTTATACCCTGCTTTTCTCCCCAATGGGTAGCCCAAAGCAGCTTACAATAACGTTTACCCTCACAACAACCCTGTGCGGTAGGTTGAGGGTGATCAGCCAAAGATCACCCAGGGCAGAGTGGGGACACAGAAGGGACCCAAAAGCAGCTTACAATGTTATTCTTCCTTCCAGTTTGGTGTGGTGGTTAAGTGTGCGGACTCTAATCTGGGAGAACCGGGTTTGATTCCCCACTCCTCCACTTGCACCTGGCTGGACGACCTTGGGCAAGCCCTAGTTCTGACAAGAGCTGTCCTTGAAAAAGAGCAGTTTCTGTCAAGAGCTCTCTCAGCCCCACCTACCTCACAGGGTGTCTGTTGTGGGGAGGGGAAGGGAAAGGAGTTTGTAAGCCGCTCTGAGGCACTTTTGGGTAGTGAAGGGCGGGGTATAAATCCAATCTCTTCTTCTCTTCTTCTTCATGCAGCTGCTGGTGGGACCTTGGGTCAGGCACAAGTTGTCTCGGAGCTGTTCTCTCAGGAGTAGTTCTCGGGAGAGTTCTGTCAGCCCCACCTACCCTCACAGGGTGTCTGCTGTGGGGAGGGGAAGGGAAAGGAGATTGTAAGCCGCTCTGAGACTCCTTTGGGTAGTGAAGTTGAGGGTATAAATCCAATCTCCTCCTCCTCCTGTTCTTCCATTTGAACCTTACCACAACAACCCTAGATGGTGGGTCAGGATTAGCCTGTGGTCACCCAGCCAGCTCCCACGGCAGACTGGGGATTCGAACCTGGGGTCCCTTAGATCTTGATCTGACAACTGCAATGCCACATTGGGTATGTTGACCAAAACGGGGAGGATTCCTCTTTTAAAAAAAATCCTGTTGAGGCCTCAATAGGCTCCGGGGGGCACAGAATGTTGAGAGCATTACTCAAAGGAGAGGCGTAGGGGGAGAGAGGAGGAAACAGCATTTTCGAGCTCCACAAAGCCTTGAGAATCCCAGGAGGTGGTTTTCAAACGGTCCCACCCTGCCACACCACGGTGCCCGATGGGCTCACGGTGTGTTCCTATTAATAGTCCTCATTTTTCAACACTGGGTTACGGCCAAACATGGGTAGCCCTCCAAAAGCGTCTCACGCTATCTTGATGTTTATCACCTGCCACTGGAGACTGTAATGAAAAGCCAAACAGACCGTGGATAGTCAGGTCTTTGTTGTCTGGTAACTTCTTGGTCTGTGTGTGCAGAAACACAATGCGCCTCCTCCACCACCCCTGTGGTGTCTCTCACGCAGACACTCTCTGCTGTCACAATCAGGCGTCTTGCTCAATTTGAACTCACGTCTCTCATATCCAGCTTCGGTCCTTGTCCTCGGCCCCAGCGCACCCCCCTCTTCACGTCTAGCCCCCCCAATGTCTTCCTGCCTGCGCTGACCCCATTTTGCCGCCAATGCATCACACCCCACAAAGGGCTTTGCTTCCAGCCAGAGGTGGCCCCTGCGCTTTCTTCCTCTGTCCGCTGGCGTCTCTGGCTTGTCCTTGGCAGCGCCCCGGGACTGGCACTGGGGGCTTTCCTTTGGAGAGCGAGCCAAGGAGGGTGTTTTTTTTTAAAAGGAAGCCCTCTGCCAAAGGCACCAGTTTGTCACCGGTCTTCCTGGAAAAGGACAAAGGGAAGAACACAAAACAACTCGAACGGCCTGGCAGCCCTGAGGAGGTTGTGGTGCTGAGGGGAAGGGGTCGGGAAGCAAGTTTGGGATCTGCAGGAAAGGGTATTTTTTATTGCCCGGGACCAGCAGCAGTGCCAGAGTTCCAAATCCCACAAACGATAAAGTTGGCCTCATTCACAAAAACAGTTTCAGAGGGGAGCCGTGTCGGCCTGCGGTACACGAGCTAGATTCGAATCCGGCAGCACCGTAGAGACCAACAAGATTTCGGGGGTATGAGAAGAAGAAGAGAGTGGATTTATACTCCGCCCTTCACGACCTCGAGGAGTCTCAGATCGGTTTTACAATCTCCTTTCTCTTCGCCTCGCCGCAACCGACACCCTGTGAGGTCGGTGAGGCTGAGGGAGCTCTTTCGACGACTGCTCTTGAGAGAACAGCTCGGAGAGAACTTGTGTCTGACCCAAGGTCACACCAGCAGCTGCATGTGGGGAATCAAACTCGGCTCTCCCAGATTAGAGTCTGCGCTCTTAACCACTACACCAAACGGAGGTATGGAGAGTCAAAGTGCCATCCTTCAGATACATGATGGGTGTGCTTCGAATCTTGGACACTTGTGCCCCAAAAATCTTGTTGGTCTCTAAAGTGCTACTGGATTTAAGTGTTCATAAAAGCAGTAACTTTTGGATTCTGCTTATTTAATTCATTTATACCCCGCTTTTCTCCCCAACAGGGACTGAAAGCGGCTTACATCATTTTCCTCTCCTCCGTTTATCCTCTCAGCAACCCTGTGAGGTAGGTTAGGGTGAGATAAAACAGAGAATGATGTAAGCTGCCGAACACCTCCGTTATGCTGTATGCTAACTTGCTGCACACCCTGACGGGTCACTGGTAACTCTTCCATTTCAAAGGATCTGAAGAAGTGCGTGTGCACGTGAAAGCTTATACCTTGAATAAAACTTTGCTGGTCTTAAAGGTGCCCCCCTGGACCCGAACTTAGTTCCGTTGGGGAGAAAAGCAGGATATAAATGAAGGGAGGGAGAGTTGGTGGTATGACATAGAGCATAATAACATCAGAGGAGCCCTGCTGGATCAGACCAGTGAGGGTCCATCTAGTCCAGCATCCTGTCTCACCCAGTGGCCTCAACCAGTTCCTCTGGAGGGCCAACAACAGGGCAGAGAGGCCGAGGCCTTCCCCTGTTGCTGGCCTTCCAGAGGAACTGGTTGAGGCCACTGAGTGAGACAAGATGCTGGACTAGATTGACCCTCACTGGTCTGACCCAGCAGGGCTCTTCTGGTGTTCTTATGAGGGGAAGGCCTCGGCCTCTCTGCCCTGTTGTTGGCCCTCCAGAGGAACTGGTTGAGGCCACTGGGTGAGACAGGATGCTGGACTAGATGGACCATTAGTCTGATCCAGCAGGGCTCTTCTAATGTTCTTACCAGGGGAAGGCCTCGGCGTTTATCCTCCAGAGGAACTGGTTGGCTACTACATGAGACAGGATGCTGGACTAGATGGACCACTGGTCTGATCCAGCAGGGTTCTTCTGATGTTCTTAGGTTCCATCACCGCTTTGCCACTTAATAATTAGCTCAATATGTTGACTCTCAGCTGCCACCAGTCACCAAAACACGCACAGAGCTACACATGGGTCCCACCCAAGCCCGCTTGCCCTTAAAATTATACTGTAACAGTACGGTACAAAATTTTCCTTTTAATCACACATAAAAACGAACAGTGGGGAGTCTCGTGTGTATAGACCAAACTTTTGCCCCCACCCTCACACCCCCCGCGGACGGCCAAATTGTTTCGCTGCCAAAAGTTTCGGCAGGATTTACACCTAAAAAAAACAACACGCCAGTAATCACGACCAAAGGTTTTTTTAAAAAAATTAAAAATTCAGGGGTGGGGAGATTCACCAAAACAGCAAAGGTCTTAAAAACAAACATTTAAAAAAAGAGAGAAAAAGAAAACTCCAGGAGTTTCTCCTGCATGGCTGTGTTTGAATGCCCGGCCCACCGAGAGCTTTTTTCGGGCACGATTGGTCCGTCCCGGCTCACGTGGCTACAATCCCAAGCTCCATGGCGTGACCTTCAGCCGCTTGGTTCTTTTGCTCGGCGCGGCCCCCGAAATAGTCCGGCTTGGGTGAGCCGCGGCCAACAAAACTTTTAAAATTGTGTCAGAGGATGGATGAGCTGAGTTCCGGGGACCCTCCTCCTCTTTGGAAGAACCCACGTGTGACAAAGACCGGGTACGTCAGTGCAGAAGGGAGAAGGAGCGGTTGGAACGGTGGCGGCAGCTACTGCGATTCACTGACAACCGCACCCTATCTGAGGCTGAATGCCGTAACAGCTCAGGCAGAAGCCAAGGGTGGGCTAGGCCCGTTACCATCTTTCCGCAAAACAACCCAACCTCTCTTGGGTGCGGGACAAAAGCAGGGGCTGCCCCTGGGCGCGAAGGCCGGGTGCCGCTTTGTACCATAGCGGTGGTTCCCTGGACGTAAAGGCGGGGTGGCTCCAGTGCTCTGAACCACGGGTGGGGGGTGTCGGGGGGGGGGGGGGAGGCGGAAAGGAATGCTACCGACCCTACGCTACGGACCATCAACACAGCTCTGCGATGCAGCCTTCAAAACGGCAGCCGAAATCCAAGACAATACCAGGCCGGGGATCGGTCCCGCCGGGGGAAGAAGAGCCACCAATTGAAGAGCCAAAGGGTGCCGGAAGTCCATCGACGCAGCCCCAACCCGATTCCCACCAGTCTCGTTAGGAAGGGGATCCTTCCGGCCAATCAGCAACGGGGCCGTTTGCGTATCCGTCCACAGACCAGCTGCTCGTGTGTGCGTGTTTGCGGCCCGGACGGAGCCCCAGAGAGTCCAGCGGTATAAAAACCCGGCGCCGCCCCCCGCCGCCCGTGGCCCGAGTCGCCGCCTGTCTCGCGGCCGGCTCAGCCGTCGTTGGCGGCCACCAGCTGCCCCAGGCCCTCCCGGATGTAGACCGACTGGATCTCCTTGGTCTTGAGGCAGTAGTCGCAGGCCCAGACGGCCGAGGCCTCGGTGGTCAGCAGCCCGTAGGCGCTCTCCGTCATCCCCGTGCACTCCCGGTGGAACCACTTCTGGCAGGAGGCCTCGCACAGGATGGCATCCTGGTCGTCGTTCACCTCGCTGCGGCAGACCCCGCAGGGGTACACCAGCCCGGGCGGGGGCTGGTGGCTGGGGTTGCCGGACGCCTTGCCGGGAGGGGGCGGCAGGCTGTTGGCCTCGGGGGTGCCCGCCCCGGCGTGCCCGGCGCTGTTGGGGGCGAAGGTGGGCTGGGTGCCTAAGTGGCAGAACATCTTTTTGGCATGCAGGGGGTTGAGGGGCTTGCCGCCCCCGCCGTTGTCTTCGCCGCCGGGGGGGAAGCCCGGGTCGGGGCCGGGGAAGGGGCTGGGGTTGGGCGGCAGGTTGGGGAGGCTCTGCCGCGGCATCGGCGACTGTCCGAACATGTTGGCCGGCTGGCTGAAGCGCTGGGCCATCGGGGGGCCCCCGGGGGTGTTCAGGCCGGGCCCCGGGCCCACCTCTCCTCCCCGCGGGGGCTGCCCCATGTTTGGGGAGATCATGGGCCCGAAGCCCCCCATGGGTCCTTGCATGAGCTGGCCGCCGGGAGGGCTGAAGTTCTGCCCCAGGGCCTGCCCGAAGGGCTGCCCGGCGAAGGCCATCCCGCCGGGCTGGACGTAGCCGGCGTTCTGGGGGGGCATGTTGAACGCCGGGCCCATCTGGCCGGGGCCGAAGGGGGGCGGCTGCCTCCGCATGGGCTGGGGGCCTCCCCCATAGCCGGGGGGCACCTGGGGACCCATGGCTCCTTGCATGCGGAAGTTCCCGAAGGGTCCCGGGTTGCCGAGGAAGGGGGCGGAGGCCGAGCTGACTTTGGGGGCGCTGAAGTCATCCTCGAAGGGGTTGGAGGCCACCAGGTGGTCGACCATGGGGGTCGGTGGCGGGGCGAACTCCGAGAGGTGGGAGTAGGCGGGGCCCTGCAAGGAAAAAGCAGAAAATAAGCAGGGGGGGGGGGTAGACAAACTGAGCTACATTCCAGACCCAACAAGAGGAGAATTCGGCACCGTGGCCCTTCAGACTGCAGGTGGGGGCATCATACTTATCTCCAGCCTGTCCCTGTCCTCGTTCAACAATTGAGTACCGGATCCGTTTCAAGGTGCTCGTGCTTACCTTCAGAGCCCTATGCGGCCAGGCGCCTGCATACCTGTGACCCGGCATCTCCCCTTATGAGCCCCAAAGAGCACTACGATCTGCTAACCAACATCTACCGGTAGTCCCCGGCCCCAGGGATGCCCGTCTTGCCTCGACTAGTGCCAGGGCCTTTTCTGCCCTGTCCCCTACCTGGTGAAATGAGCTCCCCTGTGAGATCAGGGCCCTGCGGGACCTTTTACAGTTCCGGAGGGCCTGCAAGACGGAGCTCTTCCGCCAGGCTTTCAGTTGAGTTAGCGGGTGTCCTTCCTTCCTTCCTTTCCTATCTATCCATCCTATCTTTCTTTCCTATCTATCTATCCTATCTATCCTTCTTATCTATCCTTCTTATCTATCCTTCTTTCCTATCTATCCATCTATCTATCCATCCATCTATCTATCCATCTATCTATCCATCTTTCCTATCCATCCATCTTTCCTATCCATCCATCCATCTATCCATCCATCCATCTATCCATCCATCCATCCTTCCATCTATCCTTCTTTCCTATCTATCTATCCTTCTTTCCTATCCATCCATCTATCCTTCCATCTATCTATCTATCTTTCCATCTTTCCATCCATCCATCCATCCATCTTTTCTATCTATCTATCCAACCATCTATCTGGCCTCCCCTTTGGTGGATCAGATCTGAGTAATACTGGAACCCAATTCTGACAGGTTACATTTGCTGAGCCTCTGACTGGATATATAGAAACGACACTGTATTTTACCTGATGTAGTTTAAACTGTTTTTATCTATCCTATCTATCTATCCTTCTTATCTATCCTTCTTTCCTATCCTTCTTTCCTATCTATCCATCTATCTATCCATCTATCTATCCTTTCCTATCTATCTATCCATCTTTCCTATCCATCCATCCATCTAACCATCCATCCATCCTTCCATCTATCTATCTATCTATCTATCTTTCCATCTATCTATCCTTCTTTCCTATCTATCTATCCATCTTTCCTATCCATCCATCTTTCCTATCCATCCATCCATCCTTCCATCCATCTATCCTTCTATCCTACCTTTTTATCCATCTT